TTGCATTTAACCATATTGTCCATTTCATTATGTGATTAGTTAACTCATGTTGTTCATTTAATTATGAAAGTTCATCCTTCCTGTTCTGTGAAGCAAAGCAGTCTTAGATAATAGGGAGCTTACGAGGGGCCTTGGGCAAACAGCAGCATCTTTCTTGCAGATTAAAGGCACCAGTTAAGACTTATGACTCCATATGTCCAGATAATGAAGAGGTCAGACTGTAGGTGGAAAACTGGCCATTTCTGGAGGCTACACATTTATTCATTTAACTGTTTCTGTACTGCTGGTCTCAGCGTTGAGCTTGGCTCACACCTTTTTGTTGGCCAAACGTGTAATCAGATCTGCACAAGATAACGTATTTATTTTACGATTGTCACTGACAACAACCTCAAGAGTTAGCAAGAATGATGAAAATGAGCTTTTTTTTTTGTGTTTTCAAAAAAATACCTGATTTTTTCCCCCTCCATTGCATGTTCTTCTTTTGGCTCGAGCGCTAATGTTTTCAGAACACGATTGTCAGTGTGAGAGACAACAACAACAAACATACAAGAGCACGTGCCAGATGTTGTACAATAGGCCTACACAAAACCCATCCTCTCTCCTCTACGACTGCCTGCTCCTCCCTTTCGCTGCTTTTGTTTTGTCCAGCTTCATTTGTGACGGTATTTATCACAGTAAAGGATACAAATAAAAAATCCTCGCTCTTGTCTGAAAAGAAGAGTCATTTACGCTAACAAAAACTGTATTTTACCATTACAATAACCTCAGACAATAGAATATATTTGCCTCGTTTATTTCACACTGCAAATGAACAGAGAGGGGGGGGGGGGGACCAACTCTCGTTGTTCTGGTTGAAAATGCGCCATAGCAGATCCGTCTCTGCCTCTGCTCGGTGTATTAGATAATGAGAAGGTGCAGATAAGTTCTTCAATCTTCTCCCCACCAGCTAATCCACATCATTCAGTATTGCCAGGATCACAATGATGATTTATTATTGCTCATTCAGAGCTCAACAATGGTTTAAGCATTTGCAGTAAATGAAGAAACACTCTGCTTCAGATCACTCATCCGTTTAGCAGGATGCCCGTTCTGCTTAGTAGCAGCTGTTTGTTGCACGGACCGGTTTGATTATTGTTAAGTCTCAAAGCTCTATGGTTGATGCATTTGCAAAGCGGCATGTTTAATCGAGAGAACGTAAAAAGAATCAAGGATGAATGTTCAGCTGGCGTGCTTATGGCACAACAGCCAGGACAAGCCTAATCATGCAGATAATTTAAGTTTGCAACAAAACACATAAAAAAAAAAGGAATATTGTAATAAGATGTGGTTATAGTCAACATTCTCATTTCCTCCGCATCTTTAGAAGAGAGGCATCTTTCTGCAGAGAGCATCTGTCCCTCAGCTGTCAGGAACCTACAGTATTGAATTTCACTGACACTCAGGTCCTTAATGAGAAGCAGGGTGACGCCTTGGTATTATAGCTTGTGTCCTACCTCTCTCCATTTCTATCACTTGCTTTAATAAATTACTGTCCAATAAGAACTTTTATGATCTTGGCATATGTTGCCTTTTATAGGTGAAAATAATTGCGTTCCCACATCGCTCTGCCCGTTCCCGACACGAGAACGAGACCAGCAGAGCCTACAAAATGAGATAGTTTCACAGTGTCTGCACAAGTCCTTCTCGTTCAGGTCGGTATGCCCCACCCCCCTTTTTTTTCTGTTTCCTGGCCTACCTTCACAAGCACCACCGCCACCTCTTTCAGCCCTCCACCACTCTTAACTCCACCCATGCCTTAAGAGGCCTGCACTTGCATGCCAACAGGCTCTCTTCAAAACCCACTGCCCCATCCCCCAATCGACTCAACTCTCTCTCTCTCTCTCTCTCTCTCTCTCTCTCTCTCTCTCTCTCTCTCTCTCTCTCTCTCTCTCTCTCATACACACACACGAGCACATTCAGGGAGACTTGTTTTTGAGTTCCCACTGAAGTGTGACAGAAGCCACTTGACAGGTGACACACACACTTGATGTTATCGGGTCAGGGCCAGAGATTTGGCCTCTTGGTTGATGAGAGACTGTCACTGGCATTGTTTATCTATTCAACAGGAGCGGAGGAAAAGGAATGACTGAGGGGGAAAAAAGCGCATCCTCCTTTTTGTTTCCGCACATCACTCCAGGGGAAAAACGAGCCATGAGACGGTTTACATGTGGAATTTGTGGCCAGAGACACTGACTCGAATAACTCAGGACTCTCACAATAAACATGATAATACAATCCATTATATTGGTGTCTGCTAAACTGTCACTTTAAACAAAGACTCATGGGGGGGGGGGGGGGGGGGGGGGGGGGTCCTGAAATAGAAGATCTCCTCAATCATTTAGAGAAATGTGCTGGAGCTGCCTCACAAATTGATGTAGCTTTGTTATCGGCATTGTCAATTGATTACACCTAAGGCAATAATGAAATAACTAATTGAATGTGTCCTCTCGTAAACAATTTGTTGAAACGTGCACAACACAAACTTGCCTCCTCCTATGTCGAAAGCTTTAAGTGATTTAGGACTGATCCCCCTCACAGAACTATTGGCCAAAGCTTGAAACATTTTGACCGTTTCAGATTGTTTTTGTGTAAAATAAAATAGTTTTCTGAAAAGCCTCTCTTCGGAAAATAGCTTTAAAATTCAAACAGCACCAATGAGCTAACAGCTACAGTGGTAGGACAGCACCCATGAGCAAAGTGTTCAAATGACAACAAGGATCTGGATTTTACGTGAGATGGAACCGAGATGATGCTTCAATTTCTGTATCATGGCCAATTACCCACCAGCTTTTGTCTAAGACCCTTTGACGTTGCGCTCAGCTTAAAATTGGCTAAAATCGCCAAAATGTCACAGCAGATCATATGTGATGTACATTTGACACAGATTTTTAAACCATGTGTAAACATCTGTAACAGACAAGTGGTGGAATTGAAAATGTTTAACCCTTTAAGACAGGTGGGACCACTGGCACTCCCATTTGCATATCTGAGTTCAAATGCTTGTAGAACGGAAACGAGATAAGATGGAACTAAACTTTTTTTTTTTGCATATTAAACTGGAGGAGTTACACTTAAATCTCACACACTGAACATGTCCCAGAGCGCTGCGTATTTCCGCTAACGAGTTTGCAAAAAACAACCAAAATGCGCAAATAAGAAAAGTTTTCATTCAGACACAGACGCTTTGTCGTTCTGATCTGCAGCTCGCATGGCTTCACACGCTAGAATAAACATCATCACGTTGTCAATGTGAACTGTCACATGATTATCACTCACCCAATCACCTGCTTTGACGTCATTTTCCTGCGAATTTTAGTTTTTTGTAGTCCCAGGCTTTCGGCTTTTTTCTTGTGCTTTTTCACAATAATACGTTTAGACAAACACATCCTACACACATCACACACCCACTACAAACTTCCAACACACACACACACACCACTAGGAATGTTTTGATGACTCACGGACCCGCCAAATGGTACATCGGCTCTCCTTGACACGGTTGACGCCATTACAGCGCTGGGTGATTTTTAAGTTTCGCATTCTGTTTTCTCACGTATATATTCATGCAATAATCTTTATTATTGTTATTATTATCAGTGAGAAGAAAAGGAAAACTATATACTACTGAAACATTAGCTACAAATATTCAACATTAATATATTAGACTTCTGCAGATTATTATTATTTCTGTTTTCATTTTTGTTACAGTTTATAGAAATGAGTGTATCTCAGAAACTATTTCATGGAAGCACTTCAAATAAATTTGTGGTTGTTTGTAAGGATTGTGTGCAACTTTTTTCTATTGACAGTTTTGAGGGATTAAGCTGTGGCATGTCTGCATAATGAAAAATATGTGTTAAAAACGATTTTCAATTTCTACATAGATAGTACTTTTAGTACAATATTTTGTTGCTATGAACATTTTACATTTATATAATTAAAATTTAGAATGTAAGGGTTGTATTGATGTATAGCAAGTTGAAATACTCCAAAAAAATGGCACCACAGCATGTAAAAATGTAAATGTAAGTTTTGGCTAACTTGTTCTTTGACAGGTCTTAAAGGGTTAAAGGGGAAATACCTTTTGTGATGCCATCTGGGTCTCTACTGCCCCTACAAACACTCCAAACGTAAAAACAAACCCTGCCCATCCCTTTTTTTAATCAGTTTTTTAAGAATTTCGTGCCTAGAACAAGTTGTTTCAAAAAGTCCCCGTTTGTGACATCACAGGTGGGGAAATTCACTCTCACATGGAGAAGTATTGGCTCTACTCCTAACCCCTCCTTGATAGCCAGGCTCTTCAGCACTGAGCAGACTGAGCGATGGATGGGTGAGCGTGGCCAGCTCCAGCTTATTTCGTACAGTGACAGAGCCCTGAAACGACTCATTCCGGAAGATACTGAAAATGTTGAGAATAAATCTGCTGAAATTGCTTTATGTGAGGGAGATTTTGTGCAAAGAACTTTAATGACGTGTTTTGTATCGACAATAGAACTAATATAACTTTAAAACAAGAGTCATGTTATGGCTCCTTAAAGATAGCATTACATAATTTGCCATAACTTCTGAGAAGGTTTTTTTAAAACATCAGTAATGTTCTTTCCTTCATGGTTGCACTCAGACTGGCCATTAGCTCACCACCAACAGAAGTCATTCATAAATTGATCCAAAGGGAAATATTGTGATTCATTATAACATCTGCACAGAAAAATACTCGAGAGTGGCCAAACTATCTATTTTAAGAGATTGTTCACCTGTTTTGAGACAAGTGTGTGTGGATATGAACCATGGATGTTGTGAATGGCTTTTCGAGCAGAAACAGAACATTTCAGACAAATAATAACAAATAACATTTTGACCGGAGTGGAGGGTGTGAAAAAGCTATGTTTTCATTGGTCATTATGTCACAACAGGAAGATTAATTGTATAGACATTTCAGATTGTGACACAACGTGACACGGTTTCTTGTTACAATGTTTATTTATTAAATTTAAAATATCTTTAGCACAGGTTAGAAATTAGATACTTTCATCTAACATGAGCGCCTTGGGATTTTACATGGTTCCAAAATGGTTTACAATAAACACTCTTAGAAACAAAACAATAAAAAAGAAAGAAAAAAGAAAAAGGGAAAAAAAATTCTATTATTGTTGCTTGCATAAAATATCACACTACAGCTGCTAGGGCAGAGGCAAATTTGGCATATAAACATTTCTTCACTGGACATAATATTAGAAAAGCAGGAAACAAGTTCACCAAAGAATTTCAAATTCTTTTCTTTTTGGAGTCAATCTGAAGAATTTTGATGATAATATGAGTGTGTGTGTGTGTGTGTGTGTGTGTGTGTGTGTGTGTGTGTTTTGGAGTACACTTAGATTTTTGTAGACATGTTTTTATTTCTTTAGATCACGTTTTCTAAGGCTGGTGATGACATTTAGTTAGAAAACTCAACTGGAATCCAAGTTTTGTTTTAGCTTAAAGATTTTATCCTCGATATTGTTATAAACAGGATTTAGCCGCATACATGCGCGTATGCAGCGACTGTGGGTAAGTGAAAACTGCACGGTTCAACCACCAGCCTTTCCCCATTATATTCCCTGCTGAACATTCCACAGACTTGTAAATGACGGTCACGTTTTGCCCCAACCCTACCTTATGGAACATAAAAAAGATAACATGAGCACAGCACTGGAGTAAATGGCAGGCCGATGCATTACTTATCAGTAGGAAAACATTACCAGCTAAGACATATATTCTTCCCCATTTCCAAGTTGTTTACAACCCAGACCATTATTCACAATTTATTATGTTTCTCCATTTTTGCTAGTTGCCATTAGTACATGCCGTATGGGAAGTCTGGATTACAAAAGTACCTGAACACATTGTGTGTATAATAGCATGCATAGCTGTTTTGGTATTTACATTGTATTTACAGTCATGGACTAAGAAAAGGAGGATCTACAATACAGTTTTTCTCATGTGTTTCATTTACATTTCTATGATGGAGAACAAAAAGCAGCTTCGTATGGATTTACGGAGTACACAGGACATGCACTTAAAGTATGCTTGACTGAACAAAGTATATTGTTTCATCTCCTAGAGCTGAAAGAAGACTAGCTCGGCTCTGTAACAAGCTACGTCTCTGACCTGCGCCCACTGCATTGCATAACAAAGATCCCCCCACCTCCTTTGTCTGAATTGTACGCCAGTCTGTGAGCACAGGGGGCTTGGAAAGGTTAATTTACGATGTTAACCATGCCGTGAAGGGAAAAGCAAATAGGAAAGAGCATGCACAGCACCAGAGAAGGACATTAAGCTGTGGCTACATCTTTCTCTCTTCTGCTCACTATATCTGTCCGGTGACAACAGCGAGCCCCCCTCCATTCCACCCACCCTCCCCACCCGTTGTGTACAAAGACACTGGACTATCACCATCCATCATTGCAGACACGCTGAGAGGATCTTCTACCCGTGATCAGGCTGAAAGCAGGGGCCTCTCTGCTGCCACCTTTATATTTAACCACAATGCCTTTCCTTCCTACAGTAAAATGCCAATAACATAATGATAAATGCAAGCAGGACATTTTAGCATCAAATACAGAAAACCCAAAAACAATGTTTTTTTTTGTTCACCTACTTCAAGTTAACAGAAAAGACATATTATACAGTTCATTCATGAGCATGTTTTATGTATGCTTCTACAGGATTTTCTAAGAGAGGATAAGAATGTATTTGGGGTGCAGACGGTGTCTGGAAGACTGGGCATTCATAACCTGCTCATGGGATGTTGCACTCATTAAAGATATTACTCATTTAGTGGGGAGGAACACCGGTATCCCATCCTCATCTCTCTCCACTTCTCCAACTTCTTTGTCCACCTCCAGCTCATTTACAGTCAACCTCTAATACGGGCAATCAGCAGCAGCATGCCCCCACTGGGGCTCCATAAACACTTGATTCCACAGAACTGCCTTTGATAAAAGAGGGAGGTGACTGCCAGAGTATGTTAATGTGCTTTCCCATAAAGCTTATCTCTGACTGGGGTCAGGAAAGGCCAAGTGGCAAGGGGCTGATTGCCATAGCAATAAGACCCTAGAATCTGTTACTGCAGCTTACAACCCCTTTGATAATAACACCACTCGCCGAGGTCTACCTTTTTGATAATCAAGCCCCTCGTTCAGGCACATGTGGGAAATAATGTGGACATTTAGTGTGAAACATTTGAAATCGGGGGTGAAGGCAAATTAACCTTTGGTAACAGCGAAGGGGCTCGTTTTGATAGGAGACATAAACCTTTAATTGTTCTCCAGCAGCACTTTTAAAGCATTTAAAAACAAAAATGATGAGCTGACCCAAGCTACTGAAGCTACATATTTAAACAATTGCACCATGTAAAGCCCAGGGCAGCCCTTCTAATGTATTTCAGAGAAAGAACATTTTTAAAACGTGATTTTTAAGTAATGTGTGTTGGGTCTTTGATATTTAACAGATTTAGCAGACAAAGGATGGGAGCCGTGAACAACAATTTGATAGCATATGGCTGTCCCCTGCTGTCTCCCATTCTCTGCTCTGTAGGAGGCCCAGAAGGAAGGCATTCATAACTTTCTGGACGGCACAAACTTTTCCCTTTTGTAAAGCTGAAGGATTACACCCTGCTCACAGCAGGTAGAACAGCGTGTGCCCAATAAAGAGGAGCTCGAGCCAAAAGTTATCGTCACTCTACATCAAAAACCAAATCCAAACTTACACAGAGAACACATTAAATCAAATCTATTACTTTTTGACCGATTATAACGTTGGATGATCAAGGTCAACTTCCTTCAGCTACCTTAAAATCTATCCTTTGTTTTCAACTCCCATTAGCTGCATCAGTAGTTTTAAAGACGGCAAATTGGAATCAATGTAAGCTGCTTTTCTTTTTGACGATTTCCTCTGTTTTCTCAGCTTAGGTGCCAGAGACTAGATCAAGCTGTCAGAAAGCAGACTGCACAGTTAAACTGTGTTGACTGAAATGGCACCTGTCAATAGTTTATGGCAATTTATCACTTCCGTGTCCGCTTGTTTCTATCATGACAGCTTGGGTACTTAAGGCAAGCCCTTTGCCTTTCACAAACATTCACATATAAAACTGGATGTGCAACAATTTCACCACATTTAAAAGTTCTCATTCACTGCACCGCCTAATCAGGAGCTAGAGATTTAGTCTACGGCAATGGTATTACATGGAGGTCAGCCCAGAGCATTTCTTCCAATTGAGGCATTTTGGTTAATCCGATTCTCTCCACCCCCGGCTTCACCCCCAATCTCATCTCGGCGAACGGGCCTCGTGGCTCACTGCCCACCTTGAGCTCAGGCTTATGTGCAGGCCAGAATAAGGTGGGAGTAAGGGCTTTAAAACTCTATAATTCATCCGTGTTATTAGCTCTGTGACACATGGAGGCCTATTCTGTCTTTGCTGCCGTCTGGCTAATAGAGCAGCTCTTAATCCGTTGCTATCTCTGCATCAAGATGTACACCTCTTTAAATGTCACTTCAGAAGCTCTTCTTTACCTCAAATACACAAATGAGTTAGCGTGGCACTGACTACGTTCACATGCAGCCAATATCCGGGTTATGCAGCCAGTAACCCTTTTAAAACCCGAATATTCACAATAACCCGGTTCCGCACGGCCATGTAAACACCGCCAAAAACCCGGATATGCTCATAACTGGGTTTTTAAAAACCCAGTTACTACACCTGGGGTAACCCTTTTCTAACCCGAATGTTTGGTGTAAATGCATATCGGGATATCCCCATCAAAGTGTGTGTTCTGCGCATGCTCTGTTCGCAAGGAATCTTGGTCTTATGAGTAGCGAGACGTCTTGTATGCGCCAGAACACCGGAAGTAAACAACAAGTTGGGAGCAACATGGCGAGTCGCGGCACAGCACCACACTTTTGGAGTGACGAGGAAACCTCTGTCTTCATCGGTCTGGTGAAAAGTATGAACATTATGTCTTTTGTTGACGGCCGAAAGTACAGAGACAGCGAAATATACAAGAAGGTAACCGCATATTGCGTCTTGACATAGTCCATACGTCCTGACGCTACCCCAACGTCCGCATTTAAATCGGGTTATGCAAGTTAGGGGTAACTCTTTCTATTTATGCTTGTAAACGGGTTATTCTGATCAACTCAGAAACCCGAATACCGACCTTAACCCGATCGTAACCCGGATATTGGCTGCATGTAAACGCAGTCAGTGTCACTGCAAAGTACCCACAGAAAGACACCTGGAGGGACAGATTAGAGAAGAACAGATGACTTGATTTGCTTTTCTGCCAATTATCTTTACCTTTGACCCCCGATTTCCTAAAGCTGTTATCTCACTGTGCTACGACTTACAATAGGATTGTTTCCATTGTTGGACCTTCAGGGTAATTTTACCAAAACTTCCTGGTATGAGCGTGTCTCGGGCCAAACGAGCCAATTTCCGGGTCAATTTCAGGAACTTTAAGTACCTGAATCTCTTATTGTGAACAGAATCGTGACAATAAAGCTGGAACGTGAGAGTGATTTGCTTGTCTGTGGCCATCCAGTGTTACCAGCTCTGTAACGGCTTATTGAGCACCCTCACAACCAAAGTCAGACCTGCAGTCACTGCATGAAAACCTACAAATCCCATCTGCAATCTACCAATGAAAATACACCCCGGGAGTGACGCGGACAACAACATTAGCAACAGTGGAAGCTACATGCAGGAACATGTGAACCACTCCTTTTTGGAGTTTGTTTCAGAGTCTAATAAAATTGTTGGAAGTTCGCTCATCTTGCTAGAGCAAAACCTTGAGTCGTTTGGCTCACCGAAATCTTGGACGGTTACAGCGTGCCACCTTTCTGGAGTCATCACAGTGTGACTAGAGCAGCCCTGTGCAACAGCTGAAACATGCACAGCGTGGTCCGGGTGAAAGATCCAGCTGTTTCCAACTAAACTTTCAACATAATTCCCAAAGTCTCCCATGGTCATGTTCAAAATTACACTTTGACACCATTGGTTTCAAATAATAATAAGACAGGCTTTACTGCGATGGAAGGGCTAAAAAAGGGATTTTAAGTAGAAGGAATGACAAACGGTTCAAGACCAGTGGCACACACACATTTGCCACTGAGCCAGAAAAATTTCCTCTTGTAGCAGTTTATTAGACCATTGTCAGTTTTTCCATAAGCACATTTTTAGTTTCCTCAAATAGAAAAAGTCTATTTTGCAGGTTGTTTTTGTCCCCAATGCTCTGCCTCCGTGTTTACTTAGGCCTGATGTGAGTCAACCTCAGTGGCCTACAGACGCACGAGTTAGCCACTGATCACACTAATGGAGTGTGTAGCTACAATCACATGGACTTATTAACCTGCAGACAGCCTGGGCTACATGATAATCTAATAAATTAAGTTAACAAGCTTAACTCACTGATTTCATATCCACAAATCATTCTTTTTATGAAGAAGAAGGAAAGTACACTTCACCACAGCGGCTCTAGAAATCCCATCTTTCTGGCTGTGCATGCTCTCTTCCTGCTGTTGTTTATACATGAGACACAAGTAGAGTAACTTAAATAGCTTAATATCACTCAGCCGTCCCTTTGCTTAATCCAAAAACAAGATTGTGGAGCTGCTTTATCCTGTTTCCTACCGACTAAAGAGGTGGATTGATGATTTTGGGGAAGCAGATTATGTGTCCAGGACAAGAGGAAAATAAATGAAAAATACAGTAGGCATGAACAAGGATGAGGTATACAGACAAGCCTGGGCCAAAAAAAAAAAAAGGAGGATCATTTTGGAAGGCATTAGTTGCTTGGGAAGCAGCACAAGGAGAAGACGGGAGGCTGATTAAGTGAAGTCTGAGTAGGGAGGTACAAGAGAGAAGGCAGCGGACGGGGCCCAACAGGGGGTAAATCTGAATCAGTAAGACTCTATATCCCTGCTCCCCTCCTCACTCCACATATCCATCATGTTAATATACATACAGCACGGCCCTCTGGGTAATATATCTTTGACCCGTGATTACTCTAACAGCTTATTGTTTGCACACTGAACAATCCCATTATGTAGGCGATCTGTTTACATACCGCCTTGCTGTTTAGATTAGCATGGTCTGCATACATGTGGATCTACGTGAGTCTCACCAAAAATAACAGGGATGTGCTTCTGTGTGCATTTGCACTTGCACCCGCTCAGCACATGAAAGAGCACAACTGCATGCATCTTGGTCTCAGTCGAGGATTAGAATGATGCTTCACTCAAATTAAACAGAAAAGCAAACCAACCTGTCACATAGTGAAACTTATGTGCAGAATGAGGAGGTTTTAGTCACACAGACACACACTCTGTGTCATTTTTAGTACCACGTCTGTCTTCTGTTTGAGCGACACCTTCATCCTCTCTTCAGTTTTAAACCTTCTTTAAATAATCGCCGTTTAGACGAAGCTTCTAATTTCAGATTTGTTAATGTGTTGACTGTAAATACTTTTATTTTTATTCAGTGTGCAAAATTTTATTTGAGATTATTTCTTCGCTGACTCAATGGTACTCCAAATAAGTCGTATCTAAGCACTTTGTCTGCTGGAATAACGTTCCAGTGTGCTTAATGTAGGTTCGACTGTATGACTTTTTTTGTACTGAGCTAACAAAAGTTGTTTTTCAGTTGATTTCATCAATGGTTTCTGATTTTTACTCAGTGGGGTTCTTTTTTTTTTAAGCTAAATCCAGAAAGAGGGGAGATGCAGAAGGAAATAATAATAATAAAAAAAAAGGGTGGAGTGAAAAAACACACAATGCCGAACATCTGGTTGAGCTAAGGGCTCTGCTCATTAACACAAGTTAACCTCAGACAGGACGTGAGGTCATGACAGCCCAGAGAGCTGCATGAGGGTCTAACAGTTTCAGGTCAGGAGGTTATTCAGCTCTCCAAGGAGGTCAGAAAAAAACAGAAATGCTGGTCAATCCAGTAAAATGATTGAAAATATGCTTTGAGATTTTCCCTTAAACGTCTCTCTCTCTCTCTCCCTCTCTCTAGTGCAGCCTTCTCTCTCTGTTCACCCCCGCTCTACTCTGTTCTTGGACTTCTCTGTCAGTGTGTAGACTCACTGAAATGTGCAAATCCCTTTGACACAAGATGAATAGACAGTTGCTGGCAGGATGCCTCATGCCACTTTGTTCACTGCCACTTAACTGGAGCACTCTCGTTTTTACGTTCCCTCCTTTCTTCTGCTCCTCATGCTTGCTACCGCCACGTTTACTCTGGCATCAAAAAGGAAGGCTGGATCTCTCCAAAGTGTTTACACGTTAACGGCAGCGCCCTGTGCTGGAGGGCAATGTATCACACCAAAAACTGGAAGCATAAAATAGCTTCTGTCATGTTTTTTTTTCCAACATTTTCGGAAATCAAGGCAGGAAAATGTAAAAATGAAGACATAACTTATACTGATTTGACAAGTAAACGTAATGGCTACCTGCTTGTCCTCATCTATGAGTAGTTGTCATGTTCCATCTACAAGTTACCATGCAGAGTACAGCATCTGAAACTACATATATCGGTCATAGTGTACATATATACAGCAACAAGCAATGAGTGCATTTGTTTCCAAGTGAATATTTGTCGATTTCCCCCATTGCTACATAGCATTCAGTGCTGGACTTTCCACTCGAGGCTCTGTGGAGACATGCAGCAGAAGACTGGACGGTGAGGAGAACAGAGGGGAGTCAGATCCTTGATGCACAGCACACATTGAGAGGTAGAGGATGCACAATGGCGGAGAGTAGCTGTTTAACTTTATTTTTCTTCTTTTCCTGTCTGTCCCCTGTCGTTCATGCAAACCTTTTCTGTCTTTGCCGGAGAGGGACCGATCTTTGAGGTTGTCCATGTCATTGGCTGGGCTTCTTTTCTGTCAGTGCATTTGCTTATCTTCATAGTTCATGGAAGACGGAAATCAGAGTCCTCATGTCCACACTGCAGTCAGCGAGGAGATCTATATTTCTCCCCCCCCATGTGTAGGCTCAACAAAGGAGCACGGTTTGAAACCATGCAAAAAATAAATAAATAAAATAAAGTGTCCCTTTCAGACCGACAGTAGCTTTGCTACAGCAGTTAATCTATTTATTTAGAGAGCGGGGTAATTATTGCGATGAGAAATATCGGAAGAACATTGTTTTTTATTACTATTAAATCATTCATGAAATGATGAAACTAAAGGTGAATGGTGCTAAATCAAATGCCTAGCCTGCTTTTCCTCGTCAGTTTGACAGGGTTTCCTAGTGAAACGAGGTAATGAAATCAGTGTAGTAAAAAATAAATACTTAAAGGTAGCGTATTTACGAATCTATTCAAATGTGCAAAAAAAAGTGGCCAAGATACCTGGAAATGTGTATTTAGCTACTGAAAAATCAGGATTTTAAACTTATTAAAACGTTGTCGCCCTAGTGGGACCTGGGGTCTAACAGGCTGGTAAATGCCAATGTATTCATGCTGCTGTCTTCATCATTATTTACATGTACTAGTGTGGGTATCTGAGAGGAAGACTAGACTGTAAACGAGACATAAAGAGAATAAGAAGAATTAAAAATTACATTTTTTTACAACACCAAAGGACGGAAATTATAGTCGAACATTTTGTGAGAATAAATCTGATCTGAAATGAAAAACCTAAGCATGAGTACTCTATTCACAGTAATGAAGGTTTATGATTTTGGTGACAGCAACTTGGTACGTTTCCTTTTTCAGGAATAAGAATAGGGTTTTTGTAATGATCTATTTACAGCAGCATGCATCGTCGATCTTCTCACTGAAAAGAAAATAGTATTTCCAAAGTATTTATCTGTTGTTGTAAATCATCTCATGATTATGAGTCTCTGATTTTTTTTTTCTTCTTTTCTTTTATATTTTGTAGGAAAAAAAGCTGCGGGTAAAATACCAAGGAAGGACACCGGAGCAATAAGAGGCTTTTGTGGATTTCTTTGTAGGAATTTGAGGGGATTCTAGCAGGTCTTCATTATGAATGTTGTGCTTTGTAGGAGCCTTGGTGCGATTGGTCAGCCACTCTGATGTCATCACTGCTCAGTCGTTAGAGGATCTGTGAACAAAATAGAAAAAAAGAGGAAAAGTCATTTAAGTGTGACACACACTTTAGTGCTGTGTTGTATGCATGCACACACACTAGTAACTGTGAGCAAGTTACTCAGGACCGTCATCTAAATCCTGTCTCCTCTTTGAAGGTTTATAGTTGCACACAGTGAGTCACGGCTGCTGTATTTGGACAGTGGGGTGGGCTCCGCTGTCACGGGTGCCAGTTTAGAAACAAAGACAGAGTGACCACCCTGTGAGTGTACTCTGCAAGCCCACTTAGATGCAGAGTGACAGTGGCGTCAGCATGGGGAGTGACTCTCAAATCAGCTTCAATTAAGGCCAAGATAAATGATAAAGTTCCACCTCTAAATCGTGTCTGCTGGACTTTGTTCAATCTGTTCACAGTTTGTTCCATCGTAACACAAAAACATGTTACTGCTTACTTGTTTTGTGTCTGAACTACACAAAGTTTAGTTGGCCTCTCCTGCATCCAGCGCTGAGGATGATTCATGTTGCCAGGAGGAGTGCATTGTGGGTGGGCCATTAGACACAGAGACTGCAGTGGAATTCAGCCACTATCTACTGGAGATCCAATTACATGACCCTACTGTAAAGGTGCTTCCTGCACCCATTATAAATCACCATAAACAAAGAAACTATTGACACAGCATTGCATACTGTTACCGCTCCGCACATGCATGCATACCATGAACCCTAAACTGGTATATTGTCTACATTGGAGGTACTCTTTCCACGCGTGGGGTCATTGTGTTATTGCTTGAGAATGTCTTGTTGTTAGTTTTTTTAATTTTATTTTACTTGAACCCTAAATTGATTAGTTTATTTTTCTAATGAAATCCAGAAACAAACTGAATCTACAATATTTGAAGGATGAATTCACATTATGAATTTATTTTAAAATAATACATTTTATTTAAAAGCACTTTTCAGGGACACTTTGCAACAAGACAGATACAGTACCGCATGAAAAATATTAACATATGAGCAGAAATATAAATGAAACAATAAAAATTGGAAAAAAAAGGATACTATAGGACTGTTTGACTATTTGGGATTTTAGTTTCAATTATGTTTAAAGGGGTCCTAGAACAACATTTTTTTTTACTATTTGAAACTGTTCCTATAGCATACAAAAATGTGTTAGGGCCCAAAAGTACAACCCCATAACAAAGTCATACAATAGGGGAAAAAAAGAGCTTTCCAACCCACTAGGCTTGCAATCTGCATGCTGATTGGCTGATTTACTCCTATTTCTCTGTGATGCTGCCTGAAGCTAGAAACATTTGTGTATAGCCGCACATCTGGAAAACTCAGAATGAGCACAGTGCGGATCTATCTGGCAATCACTCACAGTCTGAATATTCCCAGCACATCCTTGAAAGTTACATGTGTTTTTTGTTTTGTTTTTCTCTCGTCCAACAATGACGTTAGCAGTAGACTGGGTTAGCAGTAGCAGTAGCTCAGGCTAGCAATACCAACAACATTTATTTACTGCAGATGTTGAAGTGGGTTGGGGCATTCAAAGTAAGATCTTTTCTCAAGAACAAGCTGCTTCTCTATGTGCTAAACAACAGATGCATAAGAAAGCAGGTCAGACATGGCACCAATTATTTTGCATGCTGCCTCAAGTTGTCTTTATTCTACAACAACAAAGTAAATGTGGGTTTGAATTCTAGGACACATTATTTCCCATGCTGAGAATTTGTGGTCAGGTGCTTGTAGGGTTTTGTTTCTTTTTTCCCCTGTCTTTTAATTTACCTAGTTGCATGTCTTCTGTGTGCTAATAAAATCTGCCAACCCCAAACTGACAATTTTTCTTTTCCTGGTGAACTAACTTATAAATCCAGGTAAACTAACTTTTAAATCTTTATTATTTTGCACAGCTTTTTAACTATCCGTTGAAAGTGATGAAGACCACAAACTTGGTCAGGACACCGCTTCCTTAAAATTCTTCAACAGCGCCGCCATTGCCCCCTCAAAAAAGTGATTTAGCTATGGACACAGTAAAGATTTAGGAACGCCTCATAGAAAAATTCTAAAAATATGAGCCTTTATTCACCTGTGACTGAAGGAGTACTAAGGTGTGCAGCAAGCATTTTATTTGTGGACAGAAATACATCAGAATAGCGCTACGCCCTTGTTGTCCTAGCGGGGAATTGCTTTGCAAGAATCCCCAGATGACGGAGAATTCTGAGGGCAAAACGGTTCTGTCAAAGTGTGTGTCTCCCTCACAGAGCTGACTGAGAAGTATAAATTACGATTTACACTCTTCTTTTTGCTCTTTAAACTAAGCTGGGCCTTGTTTTGTCTCATCATATCTTCACAGCTGAGATGATAATCACTGATACATCATAATCACCATCTGAGAAGAGCATTCATCAAAACTTGAGTCTTTCAAGACAAGATGTGGTCTCAAAGAATGTGATAAGGGAGTGTGATGGGAATGCAGGGGCCATTTGGACATCCAAAGCCAGGTGTTAGCACTTCAGCTTACTGCCTCATCAATAATTGACAGAGGCAAACCAATCAGAACAATTTGCTCCCCACAGCGAAGTGCTAGAGCAGCCTAACACCAGTGAATCATTAATGAGGCAATTAGCTGAAATGGTTAGACGGTTAGACCTCAGTGGCAGTACTCCTATGACTCCACTACCATGGTTCTTTCTTAAACAGGAACTGCATACGATGAAGTGATGTACAGGCCGGCACAAGCCAAAGAAGATGAAAGTGAAGCCACACAGCAGTGTTTAGATACAGAGCTCAGTTTTCTAAGGTTGGTGAGCAACTAGGTTCAGTCATGCCAGCTCTCCCATCTGCTGACCACAACTCAGAGGGCCAATAATGGGAACAAACCCAATTGGCCATTACCATGGGAGATTGACCTTTATTGGTTGTTGGTACCACAGCGCAGACTGACAGAAGCTGTCTCCCGGGTGATTCAAGTGTGGGAGAGCCTTTATGGACATGGGTGAAATCGACCTCAGTGACATCACTCAAACATGAGGAAGGCAACAACAACATGGATGGAGTTTGTCTTTGAAAAGCACAGATCCCAGATTGTTGTTTGAGAGAAAAATCAAAGCCCCGTGGGAGCTGCTCACAAAGCCTCATCGACTGGTCAAATTGGAACCATTTCATAGTTTATCGATGCTCATCTGCTTGCTCTCCGAGCTCTGGGTCCAGTACAGGCTCAATTAAACCAGCCACCTTGATCTCCGGAACAAACCAAGCGAAAACTAAATAGGGATAGATTATTCCCAAACACACTCTAGCATACCGCCATTGAGTATTGTATTAGTTTTTGTACATTGTCCATTTATTTATAGGTAAATGTGATTAAAATTATGTTATTAACCTATTCTTATTTAGAGGTTTTCTCTGATAGGGGGGGAAAAATACACACTACTGTTTTCTTCAAAATTTTCAGCCATCCAATTAGTCTAATGCACTAAATACACATGAGAGCAGCATATCAAGAATTAAAACAGGAACACAAGATGGGGTAAAAAGGGGAAAAGAGGATGAGCACCATGCCTAAAATCTACCGGTATTTGTTATTTAATTAAGTCCCCCAAAAAAGTATTAGAGTAAAAATGTGCATTTTTCAGGGCTACATAAGAACATTCAAAAGCAATGGAATAGTATGGATGTACTGGTAACACAAATGAATCCTGCTGACGTATCACTTTCAAATAAATTGTTTCCATCCATTTTCATCCGCTTATCCAGGGTCGAGTCGTGGGGGCAGTAGCCTAAGCAGAGAGGCCCAAACTTCCCTCTCCTCAACCACTTGGGCCAGCTCCTCCCTTGGAATTCCAAGGCGTTCCATGGCCAGCTGTGAGACATAGTCCCTCCAGCATGACCTGGGTCTTCCTTTAGGTCTCCTCCCAATTGGATGTGCCAAGAAAACCTCACCAGGGATGGGTCCAGGAGGCATCCTAACCAGATGCCCAAGGCATCTCAACTGGGTCCTCCTCGTGTGGAGAAGCAGTGGGTCTACTCCAATCCCCTCCCAGATGACTGAGCTTCTCACCCCATCTCTAAGGGACATCCCTGCCACCCTACAGAGAAAACTCATTTTGGACACTTGTATCTGCAATCTCGTTCTTTCTGTCACTACCTAAAGCTCATGACCACAGATGGGGGGTGAGCTCAGCTCTTTCTTCACCACGACAGATGGGCAGAACACCCGCATCAATGCAGACGCAGCACCAATCTACCTATCGATCTCGTGCTCCAGCTTTCCCTCACTTGTGAAAACGCCTCCACTTGGGTCAGGACCTCATCCCTGACCTGGAGAAGGCATTCAACCTTTTTTGACTTACATGGTATGAATCTGTAAGAGTTTGACCAAGGCAAAATACTTTGTTCTTTGAGTTCACAAACCAGAGCAACCTTTTCTTTGGTCTGCATGACGTAAAACATACCATGACTAGTCTGGACCGTGTTCAAAGTATGATTGAGTTGACTCCTTTCATGTAATATTTTGCTTCTGCAATATAAAAGAAATGTTAAACCTAGTCACATGACACCACTACATTCACGCCTTCATCAATGTGTTTTGCTTGTGTGTTTTATAGGGAGCCTAAGTCACGCCCATCTACTTCCGGACCATGGGTCCCCAGAGTAACGAAAGAATGAATGCAAGTCAATGGGGCTAAAAATGCTATTTTCTAATTCCGCTTGTTTTGTGCCATGGATTTCACATTTGATGTCTGTAAATTTTAAAGAAGCTTTTTGATACCAAGAACGTGCTTATTTTCGAACAGGGGGAAACGTATTTTAGGTTTTATATAAAAATAAGTCCAGGACTACAAATGCGCTTCACGAAAGTGACGTCATCAAACCAGACACAGAGAAAAACTGAGGGAAATTGGCTACAAGTTCAGCAAACCGCAAATCCTTCCCACAGGAGGAAAGAACCACCATAAATCTGACCATTTCTAATGTAGCAGCTATGCTAGGGGAGAGGAGATTGTGTGGTGA